GCAAAATTGTGATGCAAAGTAATTGCAATAGCAGTCGAAAAGTGCCAGTCCGCCACTGATACCGAAAGTCACAGTGACGAAGATGTCTTTACGCACAAAGTAACACTGGCTCAGTGTATTTATACCACTTCCGAGATACACAATAAAAATGATATAAAAGAAATACAGGAGTCTGACACTGACTTCCTAACTTTTAACAAAATATAGTAAATCCGCCACTGACGTCCTAACTGAGAATTCAACACTGCAAACCAATCCCTGAATGAGCCACACTTCCTTGAAAGCTCTGGCAGCACTGCTATGAAAGTGCTTACGAATATTTCCTCCTCTAACTTCTCAAAACAAAGCTGACCTCTATTGGCTCACCAGGTCATAAACAGTCATATCTAAACGTAAATAGTTTCGAAACCAGTACCCTGATAAACGATTTCATTGTTCAGAGCTAACAAATAAACATCTGACATGAAGTTCATGAGTTTGTTTGGGTTTCAAACCCAAGGTCAAACTGCCAGCACTCACAAAGGAAGCACGTGGCTTGTCCCTAAAAATTACAACATTCGGCCAGCTCGGGGTGCTACTTGATGCGAATAATTATAACATTCGGCCGTTAAAGGTTAAAGTCCCTCCCGGAGGACTTGTTCCCTGAATTTTTCTGCCCTTAAAAATTCGACGACCTCCGCCGGGTATTTGAACCCGCGTACTGTGAGTCATGAGGTGGGAACGTTACCTCTAGACTACGGAGGCCGCTGTTATTTGTAGTTAGTTTTGTAACTATATCTGTGTTGTACTTATTATTTATGAGTATGTTGTTTATAGTTTCTATCTCATTATCTTTTGCTACTCTGGTGATGGGGTACTTATTTACTCGATCAATGAGATATTTAATACCAGATATCTTGTGTTCTTGTGGGTGACATGAGTCACTTGGTATTATTATATCCATTGCTGTGTGTTTTCGGTGGATTGAGAATTGTAACTTTTCCATTTCTCTATATATTCCTATACCTAAGAAATTTATAGATCTGTGGTTCTCTTTCTCTATCTCTACCCCCACAACATCATAACTCAATCAAAACAAAGACAGCACACACACACACACACACACACACACACATACCCAGCAGGCCCAGCAGTATAACACACAGTCACAGGATCAAGACACAACGCAAAGCACAGTGAGTATTAAACATTATAATACCACACGTAACAAAATTCAGAACGCGGTATTAATGAATAACAATTTCACATTACAGATACACGCATGAAAGTAGGAAGAATACTCCGATAGAAGAAGATAGGTGTGACTCGCGTATGGAGATACGACTTAAGGATGACAAATCCTGAACATTTTTAATATATAAATTTATCATGATATATGACGAATATATATTTTAGTTATTTTAGTATAAAGACAACAGGGCATGCAATGAAGTAGTTCGACGTACATAGAAAAGCACCTGAAGATGGCACTTTAGTGCTGAAACATATAGTGCAAGAGAGAAGAGTAAGGTGAATAAATGTATGCACTGTAAGACGGTCAGAATAAATCATGGACATAAATCAGTGCAACAGGACGCTAAAATATAACATTATTAATAGTTGACTTTACCTTTTGCTGCAGGACATATGATTGAAAATAATTTTTGTGTTGTGAGAATCTTCACTTTGTGCTCCCATCTTTGGGAGATAATGAGGCCCCCTTCACTGGTAACATTTTCCAGGTACTGCAGACCTTGTAATTTTCTTCCTTGGCAGAATAGTATGGTTTAACCTTTGCATCCATCACTATTCCTGCCCATTCTCATCTGTCTTATTTTGTTTTCCCTCAGGATCATCTTAAAACAGTCCAGTAGGATTCGTTGGGCTTCTGAACAAGTAATTAATATTAATGACATTTTAGGAATTTAAATGTGATTGTAATGACATTTAAAATTAATATTTTATGTTGCATTAGAGACAGAAATAAGTGGATGAGGTATGATATATGACGTGATGCAATCGAACCCACATTGTTGTGTGCAATACAGATTTTTATTATCATTCCACTTGTTTGAAATGTTACTACTTCCCAAGTCATAATCCTTCTGCAGTTTTGAAAGTGTCATTACATAAGTAAAAATAAGTAAAATTTATTTCCATTTAGCCAACATTTGTGGGGGTGGAAAGACGATGTAGCACAAATAAACTGTGCAGCAAAGGAAGATAATGAAGAAAATGAAGGATTCAGAGAACTAAAATAATTTCTAGCTGCTGAAAGTTAAGACTGAATGATTAATCCAGTGAGGCGAAATCCCTGAAATCTCTTATGATATTTGAATCAGAATCTGCTGAGTGTCGTTTAAATTGTTATTCACCTCGAACCAAATGAAGATGAATACTTTTTTCCAGTTAAGTGACTCCATGTTATTTTCTCATAGAGGTCATCACAGGTACCAACCTGACTGTCCGTCCAGCCAAGATCATTGCAGGCCACGAACCTAGCAAGACCAATGAGTTGTTGCAAGCAATTGGCAAGGCACTGGATAAAAAGGTGAGTGCCCAGTGCAGCACAAAGTATCATCTCTGAGCGCCAAGCAGTAAGGTAATCATAATTATATTGTAGGAGTAAGTGGAAGTTCTCTTGTGGCTTATTTCTGTTGCACCTTATATCAGACCAGATGCCAATATTGCAAGTTGAGAAGGTCATTACAAGTTTTGTTGCTCTGTTTAAGTTCAGTCAGGGTTTTTTGTTTTACTGAAGGTATCATTGAACGTTGGTATAATAATTGTGTTTGTCTATTTATAGTTATGCAGCATCAGAGTTCCTCACTGTGATAAAAGTATCCTTTTTCTTAGCCACCTGAATCTGCTGCACATCTTCGCAGTTTGCATTTGTAGTTTTAATATTATCTTCCAGTTTCTTTCTGAGTCTCCCAAGTGGTCCATTCCCATGAATATTTTTAATTAAAACTTGTATGTATTTCTTTTTTACCATGTATGCTACATATCCTGTCCATTTCATCATTCCTCCCTTACCTTACCACTTCAACAATATTGAGAAAAGAGCAACTATAAAGGAAGTCTACTCCTAGCGGCCTCCGTAGTCTAGGGGTAACATTCCCACCTCATGACTCAAGGTACGAGGGTTCACACCCAGTGGAGGTCGTGGAATTTTTAAGGGCGGAAAAATTCAGGGAACAAGTCCTCCGGGAGGGACTTTAAGCCGTGGGTCCTGTTCGTAGATTTACGGCATGTAAAAAAACCTCATGTCTCTAGGAGACCTCTGAGCTAAATTAGGCAAATTTCCCGCCCAAGTAGTTACCAATGCCTCCAGTAGATGGGGGAGCTTAGGTACCACTGCCAGAGGAGGGACAGCCTCACTGACAGAAAGGGACTAACTATCAAATACCACTACCAGTAGAAGGCCGAAACCTCGCTGACAGAAAGGGAACGATAGCAAGCACCAGTGCCGGTAGGGTATGGAGACAGTAGAAATTCAAAGGGGGACGCACAATAGATCAAACTGGTCACGGTGCATGGGGTAACCCACCCCCTCAATACTGAATAACTGAAGTCTACTCCTTATGTAACTTTTTCCATCCTTATACTTAATAAACATAGTCATAAACAAACAATATTTAAAATTAATTTTCTCATAGTACAAATTTTAAATGATGTTAAACATGCAAAGAATAGAACAGGGAGAAAATGTGAAGTGCTGCACACCTTTAAGCCTGGGATGGAGGGCACAGTGTAGTGAATGACCTGTGTTGCAGCTGAGCAGTCTTGAGTATGTGGAGTCACTGCAGAAGGCAGGCAAGAAGCCAAAGCCAGCCACCAAGGCAATTACCAGAGAGGTGAGAATGTGACTTTGCTGACTGTTGAAAATCACCACATCACGTCTGAAGGTTCATCCTGACTTGTAGAGTTCACTTTCTATTGCAGAAAGTTGCCAAGACAAAACCAGCATCACAGGTCAGAACGCAAGTGGACCGGGCCTTGGCAAAGGGGCACGAGGAAAAGAAGACAAACAAGTTGATTGGTGATGCCAACACAAAGAGCTCTAAGGTGAAAAATGAGGCGAGAACAATTAAAGAGTAAGTATCATGGTCATGAGGTTTGTCTCTATGTTGCCTCCATGCAGTATGGACAATTGTGGTTCTGACTGCAGACCAGTAGAAGATGTACCACACCCAGCACAAGAGGCAGAGAAGCAGTCAGCAGTCAGGGAAGTGCTGGAGGACAGTGTGGGAGAAGATTCACCGCAGCCAGCACAAGAGGCAGAGAAGCAGTCAGCAGTCAAGGAAGTGCTGGAGGAAAACATGGGAGAAGAAACACAGTCCATGCATGCGAAGGCAAGTACAGAGCTAGTTATGTGACTCATGTTGAGATGAGTGAGTGCAGAGGACATGGTAGAAGAAGTACATGTCAGTGTGGTATGATGACACAAATGATGACTTGAAACAAGTTTGATTGCTTGCATAAATGTAACTCCAGGATCATTTCAGCCATGACGGAGTTTTCGTTGTTTTCCTCTGTCACCACAAATTATTTTGTCTGTTCCAGGATTCAGATGTGAAGAGACCCCACTCTGCCAGACGGGGCCATCGTAAGCCATCAGCAAGTATGCAGATGTTTGTCTTAGTGGTAATGTGATTTGGATGTGACCTGTTCAAATCTTGCCACACTATAAGTTCACTTCATTTACTCTGTTGTCACTGGAAGCCATTTTAGTTTTTGGCAGATAGAGATCTTAAGATAACTGAGTCGTGTATTTTACTTCACTGACTTCTGTGTTATTCATAGAAAACGGCGATTGCTCAGTCAGTATAGTTCGCTTGTGGACTAAAACCATGGAATTCCTTGTTTTTTTTTGTGTGTTAGAAGGACTCCTAACTGGCTGGTAGGGCCTCATTTAATATTTTGATCGCATTAATAAATCACAAGATGTGGCATTTTAAGACAGGATTTGAGTTCAAAATTTGTCTCTGTCCAAGCTTGGTTGCCTTATGTTAGCAGGCATAATGAATCACACACCTGCAGATCTGGATGTCTTGGAGAGTATGGCAGGGGACAGCAACAAGAAGAAGACAGAGACATTGCTTGATGGTAAAGAGAAGACTGAAATTCTGGATTCCCCTCAACATCCAGAGGTTCCGCTTCTGGGGGCAGATAACTCAAAAATGTGAGATAAATATTGCATTAAATCTGCATATGATGAAGCCTTCAGGACAAGTTATACTCTGCTGAAATTCGTTTCTTAGTATAGCAGACATATTTCATCTCTTGTATATTCACGCCTTTAAACTAGAAGAAGTCTCTCTCATCTTTAATTATTTTCCTCTCCAGAAGTGTCCTCTTGACTCCAAAGTTTAAACCTTAATAGAAACCATGCTTTCGTTTGGTGTGTCTGAGGATTTTCATATGTTTGTAGATTGAGTCATTGAGTTTCATTTCCCACCCTCTTCATAAGGTCCAACTAATTCATCTGTTTCGTTACTATGTTTCTTGTTTCTCTGCAGTTGTATACTTTTTCTCCAGTCTTAATAAGACCTTACATTAGCCCTTATTGTTATTCTTTTATCTTCTTCGTTATTGTCGCTGCTGTGATGTGCTACAGGGAACCAAATAAAGAGCTGCCTACTGCCCCTGTACCTAGATCAGCACGCCCTCCAAGTGCACGTCCACACAGCGCCCGGCCAGCTGCCCCCAGGATCAGGGATCGAGGTGAAGTTCGGCTCGCAGAGGAATCCAGGTAAAGCATCATTTTTTATTTTCTGTTCTAATGGGAACCAGTTTGCATCCTCACAGTGTTTCACCAAGTTCTGCTTTAATATTATCCTCCCTAAGCTATATGCCCATGCAGTTGCAGCAGCAGCTCCAAAGGAAAAGTGAATGTTATCACAGAGAATGAGGACACTGTGGAGCAGGATGAGGAAGACAGTTTCGTTGTGGTGGAGTCACAGGAGTCTGTTCTGACCCAGGAGCAGGTGAGGAAACTGAATCACCATCTATGCCACTTCACGCTTTACATCTGTCCCTCTGTGGCAGAGAAGTTGTTGTTGGTCTTTGAGAAGCAAGTCTTCATTTGATTCTTGTCCCAGAAATCATGGTGACTAAGGTTTTTCATAGTTTTCCTCAGCATCTCCAGAAAGATATTCCATTATGCCTTGAAACAGGCTACAGCCACTTCATTACCAAGTCACTTTTCACACTTATCCTACCATTTTACACTGTACATGCATAACATGTGAAAATGAGAAAATGGTGAAATTGACAACTAACTGTCTTATTTCCATGTATTGAAAGTGCAGTGCAGTCTTAATAAAATGAGAAGTTTAAATGTGCAATCATCAGGTTTGCCTTTAACTTTTATTTGTATACAATGTGGCATTGAGGTTTGAAAAATCGCTGTCAGTGTGGCAATATTTGTTTCGTCTTTTGAAGTGGCTGTGATGGAATATGAAAATAATTAAGGATTAACATTCTTCGTGACTTATTGGGACAGAAGTTCAAGATTTCCTTATACTTACATAACCTCTTGCGCTAATAACCAACAACTTATTAGGAGCCATCCTTTACAGACAAATGTTGCATACTTGGTGTGTTCCTTGTATACGCTGTGCCACAACCCATTTCCAAAAGAGTAGAATTGCTATTCCAATCTCCATTTTCTGCATAACACATTTCTTTCTGCGTCACTTATTTTCTTTCACATAGAACAGCTAAGTGTATTTCATCTTTGTTCTTGAAAAATGGTGAACTGTGTCAATCCATATCTTCGTGTTTCTTTTCCAGCTGTCAACATTATAGCGGTATTATTTTAAGGTTCATTTTCAGGTATGGGAAATTTTATGTTTTTGCCGAAGTTAGTGTTGAACACTTTTCAATTCAAATAGTACGCATCTGAATCACAAAACATTTTTAGTTTCTGTTCACAGTGAAACAAATTTGGAAGCAAAACTGCTAATGCGCTTGGTGCAAAAATTATGGAAGGAGGGTCACAGCTAATTAGGACTTGCTCATAAAGATGATAGTGGGGATAAGAAAGCCCTCATTTTATCATTTTATGTGAGATCTTTCCAGATCTGTAACATTAATGGAGTTCTTGTTGCAATTCATGCTCATTCTGACATAGTTACACTGAAATTTTCATTATCTCTGATATACAGCACAGCCAGGGTTAATAACAGACCAAAGACTATAGGGGTATTATGATAAGTGTGGCCATCTGCGGGATGAACTTTACATGTTTTCCTCTCTATTGGATAGTAATGTAATAACTTTTCTTGTAGGAGAAGGTTTCATAATATACTTATTTGGTCAAAATTCACATGTTCTCAAGTAATAATGAAAGTGTGACCTAACTCAGCAGTGAGAAAAGGGTTGATTTTGCAGCAACAATCTTCACTCCCTGTAACTGATACGAAGCCCATAGAAGAGGGGAGACATGGGCACCTAGTGGCACAGATCTTGGAGACACAGAAGGACCTCGAGGATGACAGCCATCACCAGAGTCAGGACCATCAGACTAAGAAAGTTGAAATTGTAAGTCTTGCAGCACACATGTATGATAATATTTGTCTTATGGGAAGGTTGGTCTTTGTGAGTCTGTATCCATGTTCACTTATTGCATTTGAATGAATGTATAAGGGTGGGCCTTCTTGGCACTTGCACCACAACCACAGTGATTATTGTGCCTTTTATTGCATTTCATTGCGTGGAAGCATAATTATTTTGTTTTATATATATATTCTTTCTTTATTTAATTTTCCCAAAAATCAAAATATATTGATATAGGACTCGTCATATCGCAATAGTATCAGTCATGCTTATCAAAATGAAAAGCTGCATACAAATCAAGACAAAAGGTTATATCAACCATGCAAGAAATCGTATCAGATCAGCAATCAGATTATAAATTATTTGTAAGAAGCAAAGTTTTCCAGTATTCTCCAATCTAGATATTCCTGCAATGAGTAAAAGTAGCCAATATGGAGAAATTTTTTTAAGGCATGTTTAAACTTATTAACATCATTTGTCATGTTCTTAAGATTCTGTGGTAAGTTATTAAATATCATGATCCCGGAACAGTAGACACCTTTTTGGACTTTAGTTAATTTATAAGTTGAATGATGTAAAGCCACACTTTGTCTGTTGTGGATACTATGTATATCAGAATTTAGTGTGAAAGTATCCATATTTTTAACAACAAACATGGATATTGAAAATATATATTGTGAGTAAAACAGAAATATATTTAGATACCTAAACAATGGATGACAAGAGTCCGTTTTTCAAGCTTTCATAATGATTCTAACCGTTGTTTTTTTAATTTTAAAAATTAAATTACTGTTTCAGAATTGCCCCAAAATATAATTCCATAGGACATAATGGAATGTACATGGGCGTAATAGGTCATCAATAGACTCTCATGGGACACAACGGAAGATAAAGTTCTGATGGCATAGACAGCCGAACTCAGCCTAATTACTAATTGATTAATATGATCTTTCCAGTACAAAGTACTATCAATAATTAGTCCAAGAATATTGACACTACAAGTGTTGTGGATTAAAGTATCACTATATATTATATTTAAGTTTTTTACAGATTCAGTTTTGTTGCAAAGTAGATACAATTGGTTTTCCTTGAATTTAGCGTTAGTGAATTGTGTGAAAACCACTCATTCATTTTTAGCAGAATCGGTTTCAAGGTAGTTTCGAGTTCTGTGGATTTAGAATTTGAACACAGTATACTAGTATCATCCATATACAAAATTGGTATGGATGGTTTATTTACTCCAAAAGGCAGATCATTGATATACAACAGAAAAAACAAAGGCCCAAGTATCAAACCTTGTGGAACACCCTGTTTAACCTTTTGCCATTCAGAAACACCCTTTCTATAATTATTATTTATTAAAGTTCCTTGATATCTATCAGTCAAGTAAGATTTAATCAGCTTTCCTGCTATACTATTGAGGCCATAAAACTCCAATTTAGCAAGACGTGTCGTATGTGACAGAGTCAAACGCCTTGGTTAAATCACAAAATAATCCTCTGACAGCTAATTTGTCATTAAGTGCCAATAGAATTTTATTTTTTAAGGTAAAGGTAGCCATATCAGTAGTCGATTTGGTTTGAAAACCATATTGTTCTTGTACCAGTATATCATTTACAGCGATATGATATTGCAGTCTGTTAAAAATGACTTTCTCGAAAATGTTGGAAAAGGATATCATCAAAGATATGGGTCTATAATTAACAATATCACACCTGTCACCCTTTTTGTATATTGGATTAATTTGAGAATACTTCAGGCAGTCTGGAAAAATACCAAGGCTCAGTAGTTTATTACATATGTAAGTTAATGGAGACAGAATGAACGGTAGGCTTCTTTTTAAAATATTTTGCGGAATCTTGTCATATCCATGTGAACTCTTCAATTTTAAAGACTTAATTATGTCTTTAATTTCACTGGTGGTTACTGGAGTCATATTTATATTAGGGAATGAATGTTGAAATACCTTGAAGAGATTGTTTAAGGAATCCATGACCTTAGAAGATGAGCTAGGTTGATTTTGGGGTACTGGGGCAGAAAAATAATTATTAATAGTATCAGCTATTATTTGTACATTGTTACATAGTTTACCCTCAATATTTATACTTGGGACTGAATTATTAACAAGTCTGGTATTGCTGACATCTTTAACGATGCCCCAATAAGTCT